CCCACCTCCTCCACTCCTCCTCCTCCTTCCTCCTCCTCCTCTCCTCCTCCTCCTTCCTCCCACCTCCACCTCCTCCTCCTCCTCCTCCACCTCCTCCTCCCCCTCTCCCTCCTGCTCCTCATCCTCCTCCTCCTCCTCCCCCTTCTGCTCCTCCTCCTCCTCCTCCTCCTCCTCCTCCTCCTCCTCCTCTTCCTCCTCCTCCTGCTCAAACACATGGAACTGTGCCGCGAGGGGGCTGCCAGCGCGGGTGCAGCTCTAAGGAACTCCAACCACCCCGTCGTGAGCCCTGGATAGGAGGAGAGGGAAGCGGGAAGGAGGGAGATAGGAAGAGGAGGCGCAAGGGGGAGGAAGAGGAGGAACATGGTACGACGAGGAAAAGGAGGAAGAGAGAGGAGAAAAACAGCTACGACGACGAGGAAGACGAGGAACATAGCACGGCGAGGAAGAACATAGCACGGCAAGGCATAGCGCTACGAGGGAGGAGCGTAGGAAGAGGAGGAAGAACATAGCACGGCGAGGAAGAACATAGCACGGCGAGGAAGAGGAGGACGAGAGGGGAGAAACACAGCTACGACGACGTCGACGATGGCGACGGCGGGGACGACCGCTCGACCGCGCGCGCGCCGCGGCGCGCGCCGCCAGCCCGGGAGGTGGCAAGGTTTGCTCTGAGGAGAAGGGGGCGGACATGAGCGCACCCGGAGGAGAGAAAGAGCTCCGAGGGGAGCAGGGGCCGAGGGGGGGTGTTGGAAGGGGGAAGCCGGCGCAGAGGGGAGGGGAGGGGGGAACACTCCCTTCTCCCCTACGAAGAGAAGAAAGCAAGAAGAAGACGAAAGAATAGTGGAAGCCGCAACAGACTTCCAGGGCAGGAGCCTGTGTACGTCTTCGGCGATGACGACCGACAGCCTGCCGCCGGAATCCCGCCCTCTCTCCTCCTCCTCCTCCTCCTCTCTCCCTCCTCCTCTCCTCACTCCTCCTCCTCTCATTTACCTATTTACCCGCTGGTCGGCCTCCTCCTCCCCTTCCTCTCCTCCTCTCACTCTCCTCCATTTCCTCCTCCACCTCTCCTCTCTCCTCCTCCATTCCTCCTCCTCCTCTCCTCCTCTCCTCTCCTCCTCCCCCCCCATTCCCCACCCCCACCACCACCCCCACCACCACCACCACACCACCTCATCCTCAATCATCAATCATCATCATCATCTCATCATCATCATCAACATCATCATTCATCATCATCATAATTTCATCATCCGGCAGCTAGCAGCAATCAATCGTCGTGTAGATCATCGCAATCAAATGTTAATCAGATCGTAATATCATCGAAATCCGCCGACCCAGAGGCCGTAACATTTTTGTGCGATATCCTTTCTACATAGCCTACAAAAATGCAGACCATAATGCAACGCACCTCCCTCGCCGATTCAAACGCCCCCCCCCCGCCCCCACCGCGCCCCGACACCTCCACCCCGCGCTGTTTCTTGCCTCGAACCGACCGATACCCCCCACCTGGCCCACCACCGCGCCCTGGCATCCCCAGGCCTCTGGAACTCTGTTCTTTGGACACCGCACTCGATAATTTTTGGCCTGGAACCTACCGATACCCCCCACCTGGCCCCCCACCGCGCCCCGGCACCCCCAGGCCTCTGGAACTCTCTTTTCGGGGCCCCGCACTCGACAATTCTACCTGAAACCAACCGATACCCCCCACCTTGCCCACCACCGCGCCCCAGCATCCCCAGGCCTCTGGAACTCTGTTCTTGGGCCCCCGCACTCAAGCGACTAAAAGAGAACCCTGGGCTCAAGCCCTTTCCGGGAAAAGCGCAGCAAGTCTGACGGCGCGGCGATGGGAAGGGGCCCAGACTTTTTCAGAAACTGGGCCCCCGCCTAGAAGTCTTCTAACTTATCAGACTTACAAGCCGGATGATACGTCATCGGGCCCGCCGACCCCGCCCCCCCCCTCCCCATCCACTGCCCCATAAGGTCCTCAATCCTCCTGACACGCGGCCGCGGCCCGAGGTGACGCCTCCCAGAAGCTGCGCGTGCTCTGGAGAGATGCCTCGCGCCCGCGCTCGAAGCCGCCGCCCCGACAGCGTCAGCCTCGAGAGTAGCTGCAGCTCCCTGCGATGTGGAACGGCACCTTGCTTCGCCGGTCCCGAGAATATGCATCACCACCAACTCCATCCCCCCCGCCTCCCCCACCCCCCTCTTCCCCCCCTTCTCTCCTGGGGGAGGGTGAAGGGTGAGGAAGGTGGCGGCGGTGGTGGTGGTGGTGGTGGCGGTGTGCATTTTTGGGGCCCGCATGCTCGCGCCTGGCGAGGAGGGCCCGAAGCGGCAGTCAGAGAAGCCGAGCCACACCAGAAGGTCATTCAGCGCATCCGCAGAGAGCGCAGGCATCTGGAATATCCTGTCCGGCGAGACGGGCGGCGCCGTGCTCCGCGCAGGCGCCCCCGAGGTCAGCGCGAACCTGGCGCAGGGGGCGGGGAAGCTGAAGTTTAACTTGCTCGGGTCGCCCGTCTCCGTGGAGCCTATGACGCGTGTCGAGGACACGCTGAATGCCCCCATTCTCGCTTTCAGGAACGACTGCACGGCGCGCTGCTGGCGCCTCACGGATGCCGGCATGTGGTAGCGATGATCAGTTGTGGAGGACGCGAACGGGGACTCGGTTTTGCTCTTCGCTATCATCTGGCTCACCGCAAGGCGGCTCAACATCTTCGAGAGCACTTGCGCTCCCACCGCGCACGCGCCGGGGACCTGGTTCAGGCTTGCCTGCGCGAGGAGGCCAGCGTCGGAGGACCCCAAGATGAAAACGAAGTCGCGATCTCCACGACAGGGGTCGCACAGAGGCTCTTCGACGGGCGCGGCGCCGCAGTCCGAGCAGTGCCTGTCGCGGGACGGTGCCTGCAAAGCTGGCGCTTGCGTCTGGCGCCTGTAAACACAATGGCCGCTCACCCCGCCGGAAAAGATCATCTGGGCCAAGGTGTTGCCAGATTTGCCTGCATGCACTTTGGTGTACCGGCACCGTGAAAAGCCGATCCAGCCCAGAAGATCATTGAACTTTTCGGTCGAGCCGTTCTTGAAATCTTCCAATGTGATCCAATAGGCGCGCCTGCTGTCATTTGCATTCAAGGCGTTGTAAAACTCGTTCAGGTCACGTGTCTGTGTTCCCTTGCCCCCCTCGACAACTTGCCGTGCAACGAACACATACCTCGCGCATGGGAATAACAAGGGGTAATGGATGAGTGACCGTTCCATGTTGATCTCCTTCGAACCAATGAGAAAAAATCAAACCGGTTGTACTCGCCCATCCTAGCCTTTACGACAGATTGCATTGCGCACAATTCGTGTTGTGGCGACACTTCCCTGTGATAGTCGGAGCTCTCCAAACCAGTGACCTCGCCTCGAGCACCGCTTGGCGCCGCTAGCCCCAATAACGCCTTAGTTCTCAACAAGTCAGTCACGACATGCTCGCCCGTAATGTAGATGCCAGGTATGTGATTGAGCATCGCCTGCACCGTTGTTGATCCTGCGTGAGGGATTGCAATCACAAGTAGGAACCCTGGCTCCGTGCCACCGCCGCCCACAAAGAAGGAATCGCTTGGTGTGGGACGGATGGATGGCGGCAACAGTGGGCGCTGAGTGGGCGATGCAGGTATAGCAGCCAGAGGGCTGGGCAGCTGTGGGCGGTGAGAAGGCGCTGCGGGGACAGCAGCCGGAGGGATGCAGGAAGGAGAGCCTTCCTCGGCATGACCTCGGCATGACCTCGGGAGTGATAGGGCGATTGTAGAAGAAGAGGAAAAGACGAATTACAAAAAAAACTTGTGACGCTCCGCGCGGATTTTGGGATCTGCGCTAAACCCCCCTCCCTGGCGCGCGGAGCGCGCCAAGGGAGGCGCCGGAGGCGCCGCTGGGGGGTCCCAGCGCGGATCCGAAAAAACCTGACTAGACAAGAACGGGAAGCGTCGCTTTAGTCCACCGAGCATGTGGCATATGCTCTGTTGTTGATACGCCGCGCAATTTTGCCGTGGCGCGCGTGTCGCCGTGCGTGCGGGGTGTGTTTTGCTGTGCTCCTAAGTGGTCTGCCGTGCTCCTGCCTTGCCGTGCTTCTGTATTGTGCCGTGCCTCTCTGTGATCTGTGTGTTCTGCCGTGCTCCTGTGTTCTGCCGTGCGGATTGTCGCGGTGGTCGTTTTGGCGGAGTTTCTGGGCGCGCACGGCTGAACATGATCGACCCACGAACCCCGAAAGGAATATAGAAATGTAACGCATGGCAACGTTTTCAAAGACACCTGATTGGGTGACGGGCACATGCAATGCTGAGTGTATCGATCTTGATGTACCGTGCCGAGGGCTGTGTTGTGCTGCACCGTGCTGAATTGCGATGTGCCATGCCGCGGTTGTGCTCAATAGCGTCGTGGATCGAGTCCTCCTTTGCATCCGAGTCCTGACCGAACTGATCTGGATCTTAAGCTCGAGCTGCCTGAGCACATAGCAGCTGCCCCAGAGCTAATTGACAGGGGAACATGCCAGGAGGATGCGCCGCGAAACGTCCCAAGGGACGCGCCAGGCGACGTGCCAGGGGAC